ACCCCGCCGATCCCCCCCCCGTCCGGTTTCCCAACCACGTCGTGGTGTTTCCTTTTTGGATAGATTATGGCGTTGGACTTCGACACGGGCGAGATGCTGTGGAACGTCGAGATTTGGAATGCGGCTCTGCTGAAAATGACCAACCGAAGTTGATGAGGACACGCGTTGTTCGCTTTGGACACTGCAGAGGAAGCTGGCGGAAGTCTCGGTCAACGCGTAGATTGGATGTTCTAGAGTCACACGTGGTGTTCTAAGTTGCATGGCTCAAAAGAGTTGACTCTGTGTACAGCAGAGTCCGTGCAAGGAGGATCAATGGAGAGAATGGCTCAGTTTTTGGTCACGTCACAAAAGCCAATGGCTGACGGAGGAAAGGAGGAACCGTATCCGTTACAATTTTGGGGTCGGCTAGCTTGCCAGGCTAGTTTGCCACCCACCCATTGTATTCATATGTTGATAAGGGAACGTGCTTTCCTCCTTTTCTTTTTTTTCGGTGTTTTGTACTTGTACCGCGGCATGTTTGTGACAAGAAAATGTGGCACCAGAGCTTGGTGCGGTTTCCTTGGGAAGTGGCTGCCTCCCAGCTCGGCCCTGCTAGAGCAAGTTAGGGTCTGTACCAGTTTCGACGAAGGCGTGCAGATAGTGTTTTGTCTACGATACCTCGATGGAAGTTCACGCCCAAGCTGCGGATTGGGGGTGGGTGGGTGGCGTAGAATTGTGGCCACGAGATCCGTTTGTTTGTGGTAGTCTACCTTGCTTGACCGGAATAGTATTAGCTCGACATGTAGTTGTCCACGTCTGGGTGTGGATACCATGTTGTCGTGGTTGCCAAATCGGCTTGGTCGATCATGATCGCGCTTCTAGAACCCGAAAGCACACAAGGCCACAGTATCATAGGAAGCTGAAAATCAGGCAGGGTACAATACTCTGTTTTTTGGGTGGCTTCGGCTCTAGAGGGAATGGGAATTTCCGGGTCATACCCCTGATCTAAGTTGGTCGGAACGTGAGGCTGTCTTGCCACGAACTTCTTCTTTTTTTTTCTGTATCATACCGAGGGACGAGGTCGCGGCCATTTGCACACGTTTCCAGCCAGCACGGATGGCGCATAGTATGTAGTCGTGGAGCGTTGGACTTTGTACGTGAGGGCGTGCGCTAATTCCGCATGCGGCAGAGCTTGTCGGTCGGATGTGTCGTTTGTTTCGAACTGTCGCGAGAGAACCATGATGCTGCAGTAGCACTCTGTAATCAAGCACGAGCTTCAAGCCCCGCGGAAGGTGGTACTGAAGGACAATTGATGGTTGTGGGGCGGGTCAACTCGAGCAGATAGCAGAGCCGCCCTAAAAAAAACATCCCTTGGACTCACAAGTGAGGTGTGGCCGCGAGAGGAAACGCACACAAAATGAGGGTCTTTTTTGTCACACTATCGATTTCGAACTCCTCTACACGGCAGTCTCGGCTTGCTCGATGGAGTGAGTTCTCTCAGCCGGTGCGAATCGACGCAAATCTCATCCATCTCAGCGGACCGCTACACCCAATTGAAGGACTTATCTTGCCTGAAGTGTTTCTTTCCAGTCTGCAGCCTTTCCCCCACATGTCGCCCTCCTCTCTACGACATGTTCGCTCTCTCACTCCCCGTCTCTACTTTCGAGATGAGAGAAACCAAGACGGTAAGACGTGTCTCTCGAAGTAGGCCTGGGCGACTCCGGGCAGCTCTTCGTATGTAGAAAACCGTGATGGTCCGACATCGTGATTCTCGTCAAGTGTAGTCCTTCCATCATACCATGCACCCCCCTAGTACCCGCTAAAAACATGAATACCGTAAGAGTCGGAGAGTTGGCACCGGGTGCGATCGTTTTTTTTGAATGTTTTCCGGGTTTTTCATCGCACCCCGGTGCCGCTCTCCGACCGGTGCCATCGGTGCGGAAATGCAAATGTAAATAATTTCGTTTAGAATTTTCAAGGCACCCCGGTACGATCTCTCCGACCGGTGCGATCCTCGATGAAATAAATACACACAGCTGTTGCACCCCGGTGCGATCCCTCTGATCGGTACGATCCCCGATGAAATGCACACAGATGTTGTATCCACGCACCCCGGTGTCATCTCCCCGACCGTTGGCATAGTCTAGTATTGATTGGTACCAATGTAGGTACCCACGCCCGGGACATGCACTACTCGGTGAGGTTTACCGCGAGCTGCTCCAGAAGCAGTGCGTCGAGTGGGAGAAAGCACGCCCCGGCGTTTCGCTGCCCCCGCTCCAGCTTCCCCGCTCCAGCTACCAGAGGTACCCGACGGCGAGTCCATCGGCACCAACCCCATCACGGCTGCAGAGAAAAGGTTCAAGGACGTCTGTCTGCTTCCTCNCTATCGGCAGTTGACAACAATGCTATTGATCGGTGTAGAACCACACGTTGAAGTACCGTTGTTGTTGGTTGGAAGCACACCGGTAACGGCAACGTAGGCTGGCACGTAACAGCTTTCCATGCAGCGAGTGGTCTTGTTTTTGATGCGAGTTTGGCTATATGGTGTGACAACAACAAACGATGTCTTTTCCATCTGAGGTGGTACCAGTATACACGGTATCATTTGTTTCCCGCTTTCGTTTCGGTCTACGGATACCAGTACGTACGCAGAAGTACACAAGTTTCGGGTTGTGTAAGGTGGGGTAGGGTGCGGCTTGTACGTTTTGTGTTTGGTTGAGTTACGGTTGGCAACTCCCATACCAATAAAAATATGAAAACAACTGGCATCCCGCGTGAACCTCGACCATCCAATCGCACGCACAGGATTGGCCACCCGCTGACTCCGTCCCCACGTGTAGAAGGTGCGCCATAAACATCGTTCCGGGAGCTGAAAAGGAGTTCAATCTTGGATTTGGGCGTCGCAGAGATCGCACCCGGTGTGAACTCACCGACCCCGGTGCGTCAATCGACTTGAATGTTTTTATCGCATCCCCCCCCCCCC